GTCAGCCGTTCAGACAAATGGTGACGAGAATGCTGAGAAAATCCTCCTGGGGTCTCCTGCCAACCACAAGGTTCTCTTCCCATGGCTGTTAGGTTCCTGTTACTTTTATTGCAACACACATATTTAGCATTTTTATGGAGCATTCGGAGGAGGCAAATATTTCACATACATTAACATGGATTGAGGAATGTGCCGAACCTTGTGCATACCGGTTTTGGAATATGAATTTATCACGCTCCTGGCTTGTGTCTGCATTCTGAGCACATTCCCCTTCCACTCCGCTATTCTCTGGTTCAGGAGGAGAACGCGGGAAGCCACCTTATACCAAGTCAAACCATTGGTCCATTTAGATCAGTACTGTCTACACTGTCTGGCAGCAGCTCTTCAGGGTGTCACATCCCCAACCCTACTTGGGGATGTGGGGGACTTCTCATTTCAAAGAAAGCACTTGCACCAAACGGGCTGTTCCTGTTCCCACCAAAACATCAGGAGGGCATCAGGCTGGGGAGTGCTGCATTCAGGCAGGGGTTAATCCCTGGTAGTGTCAGGTGGATGACAGCAACTCCCACAGCCACTTGCCCCAGGCACTGGCGGAGGAAGAGGAGTGCGGGGGGAGCGCACCGCCCCCAGCAGCATGATCCCAAGGGTGCCATCGTGGCAGCCCCTCCGCGCTGGACACCCCGCCCCCGCAGGCAGTGCGCCCTGCCCCCAGGACGCAAGCTCTGCCCCTGCAGATGGCATGCCCCACCCCCACCTGCTCTCCACCCCCGGTGCCGGAGCATGAAGCTCTGTCACTGGCCCCAGGAAAGCACAGAAACAAGGAATGTTTCTTACCATCTGCTTTTTATTCAATATTCACAGAGAGAAGCTTAGAAATGCAGCCTCCTGGAATAATGGCATTGCTCCGAGTGAGTCTCATGCGTCATCATTACGGGTGCTGAGAAGGGCCCTCTGCCTCTGAGCTCTCTGCTCTCCTATTGTCAATGCTCACCGGGTTCTGGGAGGGGGGTCTGGAATGCTTTCTAAAGACACTGTGTCCATCAGCTGTCCCCCCCGCTTCTTCTTCCTCCTTTCCCATTATCCCCCAACAACTTCCCCCCACATCTGCCTCTGAGCTGTGACCTCCATCAAACCCCTGCTGTAATTCTGAACTGTCTACCTTTTCTCTGGAAAGGTCAGGCTGGGGAGGCAGTCTCCACCATTCCTCCTCTGCTCAGTCCCTGACAGGTAGGGAACCTGCTGGCCCTCCAGATGTTGTTATATTACAATTCTCATCAGGCTCAGCCAGCATGGCCAAGAGTTAAAAGCGAAGTGGGCTGTTGTCCAGAAACATCTGGACAACCCTCAGGGTCTGCCTCTCTGGCGTAAGTGCAAACCAGAAGTTTATAAAACGATGTGTGACACGGAGAAAGTAGATGGAGAAAAGTCCCGTCGCCCCATAACACTAGAACTTGTAGACATCCAACAAAGCCAAATGTTGGAAGATTCAGGAGAGATAAAGTACTTCTTCATGCAGCACAACTGTGGAACTCACTCCCACAGGAGGCAGAGATGGCCACCAACCCATATGGCTTTTAAAGAAGACTGGAGGAATTTATGGAGGAGAGAGTTATCAATGGCTACCAACCATGATGGCTATGGTCTGCCTCCACAGATGGAGTCAGCAATGCCTCTGAATACCAGATGCTGGAAACCTCAGAAGGAGACAGTGCTCTTGTGCTTGCAGGTTTCCCACGGGTATCCAGTTGGCCACTGTGAGGACAGGATACTGGAGTAGCTGGGCCATTGTTCAGCAGCTGGACTAGTTGGACCATTGATCGAGCAGAACAGATTCTTCTGTTCTCATGGAGGGACAGAAGGTATTCCTTGATTGTGCTTTGGAGACATCAGCTCACTTCTCACAGTTGCCCTGTGTTTTGGATGACACTCTCTTCTCTCATTCCCATTAGCCGAGCAAGCTCACCACTCAAAAAGCTGTGAGGGCTTGCCTCAGTCTGATAGGCTTTCTCTAAATGAAGTCGGAGTATATCCGGACAGACACAGCATGATCACATCTTAATGATTCTTTACACCTTCTCTCAGGTTAGCTGTGTGTCCTCCACCATCCCACTAAACTCAGAGGGGAAATGAAGTTGTCCTCCAAATCAGTATAATTCAGGTCGCACCTGTTATCATAAGACAATTACTTGATGCAGAGTGTTGGAAGCTGCGGTGTTTGTGAGTGACAGAGCTTCCGACAAAGAGCTAGGAAATAACATGTATGATACTCTTGCCTTTTGCTTCTTGTCACTCCACAGAAAAGCAAAAAATAGTGGGGTTTTTTTTGGGGGGGGAGTAAAGATGACAAAGGGATGCGGGTGGCGCTGTGGGTTAAACCACAGAGCCTCTTGGGCTTGCTGATCAGAAGGTCGGCGGCTCGAATCCACGCGATGGGGTGAGCTCCGGTTGCTTGGTCCCTGCTCCTGCCAACCTAGCAGTTCGAAAGCACGTCAAAGTGCAAGTAGATAAATAGGTACCACTCCGGCAGGAAGGTAAACGGTGTTTCTGTGCGTTGCTCTGGTTCTCCAGAAGCGGCTTAGTCATGCTGGCCACATGACCCGGAAGCTGTACGCCGGCTCCCTCGGCCAATAAAGCGAGATGAGCGCCACAACCCCAGAGTCAGTCACGACTGGACCTAATGGTCAGGGGTCCCTTTACCTTTAAAGATGACAAGGAAAGGGGGGGTGTTGATCAAGGTTTTTTACTGTTGAATGCAGCCCAATGTCTGACTAGCAAGAGACTTTAGGAGTGCCTGTGTTTACCCAGGGTTCCGAATCATCAGAATGAATGTTAATGGAGACTGTGGTGTCCCACCCATTTGTCTCTATGGCAACAGAGCAAACCCTTTGGATATGTAAATGGCAGTGCTTAACTGGTCAGCCATTACCTTAACAAAAGAACTATTTTGAGTGAACTCAAAGTTTCTTTACCTATGTTTAAAGAAAGAGGAAGAACAAGCAAGTAGCAAGCAAGAAGATGGAGAAATGCTATTGACAGAGAGAAGGCAGAACTGCTCAACACCTACTTTGCCTCTGTCTTCACTCAAAAGGAAAGCAGTGTCCAAACTGGTGATAACAGAATAAACAATGCAAGGAGCCCAAGATAGGAAAAGAGGTGGTAAGAGAATGCCTAGCTAGTTTTAAGGAATTCAAAGATACAGGTTGTGGTGAACAGCATCAAAGGGTACTAAATGAGCTTGTCTATGTAATCTCAGAGCCTCTGTCTATAATCTTTGTGAATTCCTGGAGAACAGGTGAGATCCCTGAAGACTGGAGGTGGGCAAATGTTGCCTCCATCTTCAAAAAGGGGGGGAAATAAGACCCAGGTAACTACTGATCGGTGAGCTTGACATTGATATCAGGAAAGGTCCTAGAACAGAGAAGTCAGTTGGTTGGTGAGCATTTAGAAAAGGATGCTGTGGTTACAACCAGTCCAAAGGGTGACCCTGCCTGTCAGCTTCCTCCTCCTTAGTCTGTTGCCTCTATAGAACACAGAAGAGGGGACAACGGATTCTAGAAAACTAGAGTCTACATGCATTGCAGTAGGAATGTCACTTACCCATGCTTTAGGGCCCAGAGAGCAGTAAAGATAAAAATAAATTCAATTGTGAAAACCTGGGGTGCACAGCTAATAACCATTTGGTTGGCTGATGCACAACATTTCCCTTAGTCTCCAAGAGGTTCTCACCCTCTCCAGTTTTCAAATCCACCCTCAATGGAAGTGCGAGGTCTTCCAGGCAAGCTCTATGTACACAGCCATTTGAACATGTGGTGCTAAGATGTTTCTGCTAATGGTGTGAAAAATCACACTCTCCTTCTTTACAAGCTGTGTGAAGCATGGAACTGAGACTTTAGCAATTTGGTAACTGGGTGTCACTCTGGCTCCTGCAGCCATCCATTTGGCACCTAGGAAAAAACTTTCCAGTGAGGACTGAGGACGGTTGGCAAGGTGAGAAGTCAAATCCCCTTCAGCATCCATTCAGTTCCTTCTCCCGCCCCCTCCCAAATACAAAGCCACAAAGAGCATTATGCACTGCATAGAAAGAGGAGGGAGGGACCTCTCCATCTGTCCCTCAGGGCTGTCCCCAGGCCACAGCCCATCTCCCCAGGCCACTCCCTTCACTAGCCTTATTTTGCAACCTCCTTGAGTGTTTTTGCCTGATCGTGATGTGTCATAGGATCGTAGAATTGTAGAGTTGGAAGGGATCCCAAGTGTCATCTAGTCCAGCCTCCTGCAATGCAGGAATCTCAGCTAAAGCATCCATGACAGATGGCCATCCAACTTCTGCTTAAAAACTTCCAAGGAAGGAGAGTCTATAACATCCCAAGGGAGACCATTCCACTGTTCAACAGTTCTTACTGTCAGAAAGTTCTTGAACTTTAGTCAGAATCTCCTTTCTTGTAATTCATGTCCTACCCTCTGGAGCAACAGAAAACAAACTTGCTCCATTTTCCATGTGACAGCCCTTGACATATTTGAAGATGGCTATCATCTGCGGGAGGCAGTGGAAGACAGGAGTGCCTGGCATGCTCTGGTTCATGGGGTCACGAAGAGTCAGACACGACTAAACGACTAAACAACAACAATCATTATTTCCTCTCAGCCGCCTCTTTTCCAGGCTAAACATACCCAGCTCCTTCAACCGCTCTTCATAAGGCTTGGTTTCCAGATCCTTGATCATCTTGGTCAAGCACATTCCAGCTTGAACATCTCTGATCATGCCTCTTGCTTGTCTCAATAGAGGAGAGAGAGATGTCTGTGTGGAGAATAGCCCATTGTGCAAAAAGGTAGAATTGACATCCGTTACTCTGTCCAGTTTTCTTCTGGCCCTGTTGATCGCTGGCATGTCTGGTCCAACTCAGTATAAGACAGCTTCCGATTTAATTCAACTCATGAATTCAGCCCTTGTGTTAAAACACACACACATACAAGTACTAGACTCTTAATTTATCTTTAGGGGAAGAGCTGTAACTTAATGGTAGAGCACCTGCTTTGCATACAGAAGGTCCCAGGTTCAATCCCCAGCAGCTCCAGGTAGGTCTCGGAAATTTCCCCTGCCTGAAGCTCGGGAGAGCCACTACCAGTCAGTGTAGACAATACTGAGCTACTATACTGTACTACCAATCTTACTGTATGCTTGTGAAACATGTCTCCAAATTTTTGTACACATCACCTGGGAAGAAAGGCGAACTAATGCCGTGTACTGGAAGAAGCAAAGATCACCAGTGTCTTCAACATCAACTTGGTTGGACTGGTCATGTTGTGCAGATGCCTGATTATCGTCTTCCAAACCAACTACTCTACTCCAAACTTAAAAATGGAAAGCATAATGCTGGTGGTCAACAAAAGAGGTTCAAAGACTCTCTGAAGGCAAATCTAAAAATATGTTGTATAAACACTGACAACTGGGAAACACTGCCCTGCGAGCGCTCCAATTGGAGAACAGCCTTTACCAAAGGTATCATAGACTTTGAAGACACTTGAACTCAGGATGAAAGGGAGAAACGCGCTAAGAGGAAGCCACGCTTGGCAAACCCTCACTGTGATCAACTCCCGCCCGGAAACCTATGTCCCCACTGTGGAAGGATGTGTGGATCCAGAATTGGCCTCCAGTCACTTATGGACTCACTTTTTCAAACCGTGTTTATGGAAGACAATCTTACTCAGCTACGAGTGATCACCACAGAAGAAGACTGAGCTACATAGACCACTGGTGTGACTTGGTATAAGGCAGCCTCCTATGACAGAAGAGGGTCATAGTTCAGTGGCAGAGCACATGATTTATATGCGGAAGGTCTCAGGTTCAAACCCTGGCATCTCTGAAGTAGGTTTGGGAGAGACCCCTGCCTGAAACCCCGCAGAGCTGCTGCCTGTCAGTGTGGACAATATGGAGCTAGATGGCCCAAAGGTCTGACTTGGTATAAGGTAGCTTTCTCTGTTCTTCACAGTCAGAGCCGTCTTTCCCATTGGTCTTAGTGGTGCGTTGCGCCAGGGCGCCAGCCTCTCAGGGGGAGCTGCGTGGCTTTGCCGGCAGCCTCCCCTTCCCCTGCATGCCCACCAGCTGCGCCCCACCAACTATATGGCTGGTGGGTGTGCAGCTTCCTTCCCAAGCTGCATACAGGAGGGAAGCTGCATACAGCCTCTGCATCTGCTAAAGATGGCCCTGCTCCTGGTCATTGTCTGCTTCCTGGCAAAAGGTGGTGCGTAGCCTTCTTGGGCTGCCTTCTTGGGTGCCCCAATGCTGGAGAGCATGTCCACCAGCACGTTTTCCTGCTTGATCATCGTCACCATGCCGGCGATCGGGGCGGTGGGGAGGTGTTATGTACTGAGTTGAATAGGATCCAAAATGCAGCAGTCTGATTGGTCCTAGAACAATAGGATTCAGAATGCAGCAGTCTGATTGGTCCTAGAACAATGCAGCAGTATGATTGGTCTGCAGGAGCCACCCAATCCAGCTCCAGATGGAAGTGAATCCACAACCTGATTGGCCTACAGGAGAATTCTGGAATTAGCCAATCACGTGCAGCCCATTGTGTAAATAATGTATATAAAGCAGATACTTTGGGGGAACTTTCATTCCTCCTCACCACTATGAGCTGAATAAAGAGCATGAAATCCACTCTCGACTCTGAGTATATTTCAGGAAGGAGAGGATATTTTCCACTGCCCTTTCCCTTGTTTTGGAGTTGCCCGGGTGTGTGTGTGTGTGTGTGTGTGTGCCTCTCATGGTACTTCCCCGCCTTTTCTGTTGGAGGAGAAGCCGGCGTAGGCCACTCCCAGAATCTGAACCGGAGGTTTCAGATGCATGATTGTAATGTGTTGCCTGTACATATGTAAAATAAAGAACTGTATATATCTCTGAGTGAGCAGAGGTACTTATTGCAAAGAGCATTCACAAGGCATCACAGCGCCGGAGGGATCTTTGCACCACAGCACCGGATATGCTTAAGACGGCCCTGTTCACAGTCAAGCATATGGGAACATCTTCTTGATCAAGCAGAGCTTCTTCTTCTTTTCTCTGAGCTTAATAGTGTAGAACCTCAGTTATAATTATCCATAAATTCTAGTAACTTCCGTAAAATCTCCACCTCTGGGCCCCCCAAAATTCTCACTTGAGGGGCTGCCCTCAAAGATAAGCTTATACAGTGGTACCTCCGGTTACAGATGCTTCAGGTTACATACGCTTCAGGTTACAGACTCCGCTAACCCAGAAATAGTGCTTCAGGTTAAGAACTTTGCTTCAGGATGAGAACAGAAATCGTGCTCCGGCGGCACGGCAGCAGCAGGAGGCCCCATTAGCTAAAGTGGTGCTTCAGGTTAAGAACAGTTTCAGGTTAAGTACGGACCTCCGGAATGAATTAAGTACTTAACCCGAGGTACCACTGTAATGTTTAAGCCATTAAGTCTGCAAAGTCCACCCGCTCCCCCCTGTATTTCAAAGAATCCCATGCCCATGGTTTGTTTCCTCTACCTCACAAACTTCCCAAAGGTCAGACTCAATCCTGCCAATGTTGAACAAATTACTCCAAAGAGCACTGTGTCGTATAAAAATCCAAAACAGATCGAAAGCAATGTTAGCTACGAAAGGAAGTCATTTAATTATGCTCCGCCCACCCTAGGAGGAGCCAAGAGGCTTAGAGGGCGGAGCTAATCTGGAAAGTACTCCACTGCCTGCAGTTCAGTCACCTGCCACATGGGGCAGACAGAGAGGAATTTCAGCATCTCCTGACACTGGCCTAAAGGTAAAGGTAAAGGGACCCCTGACCATTAGGTTCAGTTGTGGCCGACTCTGGGGTTGCGGTGCTCATCTCGCTTTATTGGCCGAGGGAGCCAGCGTACAGCTTCCGGGTCATGTGGCCAGCATGACTAAGCCACTTCTAGCAAATCAGAGCAGCGCATGGAAACGCCGTTTACCTTCCCGCCGGAGTGGTAACTATTTATCTACTTGCACTTTGACATGCTTTCAAACTGCTAGGTTGGCAGGAGCAGGGACCAAACAACGGGAGCTTCACCTTGGCAGGGATTCGAACCGCCGACCTTCTGATTGGCAAGTGCCACCCGCGTCCCTACGTGGGCCCAACTCAGGACTGACTTAGTGGAAAGTGTGTGTGTATTTGCTAGCCAAGTTGTGTTGGCTGTATTGAGCAGGCTAGGCTAATCGCTCAGAGGAAACCAAAGCTTGTGTGTCTAATCAGATCCTTAGCTGTCCTGGCTACAGATGGGTGATCCATGAATGACTGGCCACCCACAGAGCTCTTGCCTGAGCTCAAAATATTCCTGAAAAACATTGCCCCTTCTTTTTCACTAGAAGACTTCCAGCAAATTTCATTCATCCATGAATGAGACCTCATGATCCGCAGGCCTTATGCTGAACGAGACTCCAGCTGAATCCCTAGGACCCTGTTCCAATCAGCAGTTTGGAAGGCTCTCACGGTGTGCAGGTGTCTCTGTGTTATTAATATTGTTATTATTATTAGTTAAATTAAATGTATAATGTAGCTTATGGCCCCAGCTGAGCTCTCAAGGCAGTTGGCAAAGTACAATTTCATAGAGATGCCAAATGGATTGAAGCGTCAATGAATGTGGAAAGAAGAAACAGGGAAAAGAGACAGCTCCATGGTTTGCAATTCCAAGCTGAGGGGTCTGTTGGGACCCTCCAACCTGAGTAGTTGCCTGTGCTCAGATGCCAAAGGCATGAGATCAGCAGCTGGAGTCAGACTGCTAAAAACCAGCCTATGAGCAGAACCACAGAATCATAGGATTGTACAGTTGGACGGGTCCCCAAGGGTTATCTAGTCCAACCCCCTGCAATGCAGGAATCACAGCAAACCAACCCCTGTCAGATGGCCATCCAAACTCTGTTGAAAAACCTCCAGTGAAGGAAAGCCCACCGCCTTCTGAGGTAGTCCTACCCTCTGTTTGAGCTTTGGCATTTTGTAATATAATAAACCACTGTTTAAGAAGGATATCAACAAACGTGTGTAGAGGAGGTTGACCAAGATGATCAAGGGCCTGGAAATCAAGCCTTATGAGGAATGGTTGAGGGATTTGTGTATGTTCCCAGTAGTGATGTATGGAAGTGAGAGCTGGACCATAAAGAAGGCTTATCGGCAAATTGATGCTTTTGAATTATGGTGCTGGAGGAGACTCTTGAGAGTCCCATGGACTGCAAGAAGATCAAACCTATCCATTCTGAAGGAAATCAGCCCTGAGTGCTCACTGGAAGGACAGATCCTGACGCTGAGACTCCAATACAGTGGTGCCTCGCAAGACAAAATTAATCCGTTCCGCGAGTCTCTTCGTCTTGCGGTTTTTTCGTCTTGCGAAGCATGGCTATTAGTGGCTTAACGGCTTTAAGAAAAAGGAAACAAACTCGCAAGACGTTTCGTCTTGCGAAGCAAGCCCATAGGGAAATTCGTCTTGCAGAACAACTCAAAAAACGGAAAACTCTTTCGTCTTGCGCGTTTTTCGTCTTGCGAGGCATTCGTCTTGCGAGGTACCACTGTACTTTGGCCACCTCATGAGAAGAGAAGACTCCCTGGAAAAGACCCTGATGTTGGGAAAGATGGAGGGCACAAGGAGAAGGGGACGACAGAGGACGAGATGGTTGGACAGTGTTCTCAAAGCTACCAGCATGAGTTCGACCAAACTGCGGGAGGCAGTGGAAGACAGGAGTGCCTGGCGTGCTCTGGTCCATGGGGTCACGAAGAATCGGACACGACTAAACGACTAAACAACAACAACAGAGCTGTTCAACAGTGGAATGGGCTACCTCGGAAGGCAGTGGACTCTCCTTTGCTGGTGGTTTTTGAACAAAATTTGGATGGCCACCTGTTGGGGATTCTTTCACCATGCTTCCTGAATTGCAGGGGATTGGACTCGATGACTGTTGAGGTCCCTTCCAACTCTACAAGTCTGTACTCACAGGAAAAAAATGGGATGTCCTGGTTTTGAGCACTCACACTTTACATTGTGGGTGCCCTTTGCGGGATCTAGCATGGTGCTACAGTTCCCAGGGAGCTCACTGGCAAAC